TTTATTTCTATTACCAATTACAAGTAAAAAATTTGAACATGCTTTTTTTTTTTTAATTTTGAGTTCCAAATTCTCCCCCTGCTCCATTCCTGAGATAGTAAGCAATTTTATATAGTTTATACATGTGCAATCTTGGAAAACATAATTTCCATATTAATCATGTTGTGAAAGAAAACACAGGCCAAGAAAAAACCCACAATAATAAAATGTATTCTTTGATCTACATTCAGATTCCATTAGTTCTGTCTCTGGAGATAGATAGCATTTTTCATCATGAGTCTTTTGGAATTATCTTGGATCATTGTATTGCTGAGGATTAGCTAAGTCATGCACAATTGATCATCATATGATATTACTGTCACTGTGTATGCTGTTCTGCTGGTTCTGCTCCCTTCATTTCGCATCAGTTCATGTGTTTTCTCAGGTTTTTCTGAAATCATCTTACTCATTATTTTATAGCACAATCATATGCCACAACTTGTTCAGCCATTCCCAGATTGATAGACATCCCCTCAATTTCCAACTCTGCCACCACAAAAGAGCTGCTATAAATATTTTTGTGCAAATAAGTCCTTTACCCTTTTCTTCTTTTTTTAATCTCCTTGAGGCACAGACCTAGTAGCGGTATTGCTAGATCAAAGGATATACATTTGGGCATAGTCTAATACCATTTTTTATTGAATTAATTGCCTTTAGTTATTTAATTTTGGATTTTTTCTGGAACCTGCTAATGATAGTAAGTAGGGTGTCCTCTAAACAATGTTTTTGAGAATCCCTTGGACAGCAAGGAGGTTAAATCAGTCAATACTTATAAGAAATTCAGGCTACTTAGTGGAAGGTCAAATATTGAATCTGAAGCTTAAGAACTTTGACCACATAATGAGAAGATGAGACTCATGGAAAAGACTCTGATGTTGGGAAAGGTTGGAAGGCAAAAAGAAAAGAGAAAGGGAGAAGATGAGGTAGATGGAAATTATCATGGAAACAACAAACATGAATTTGGACAGACTTTGAGAGATAGTGGAGGATAGAAGGGTGCTGTGGTTCATGGGGTCACAGAGAGTCAGACGGGACTGAACAAGGACATCTTCTATCATTCCTACTACATTGTAAGCTTGCTAAGAATAAGAACCATCTCATATATTTCTATCACCTTTAACTTCTAGCACGGTGATTGCCAACGGTTGAAGATAAATGTTTGTTGAATGAATGTTTTTAGTCTGAAGCAGTTGTTTTCAGCCTATGGGTTGCTGACTCCTAGAGGGCTATAGAATTATTACAAAGGAGCCATCCCATCTAATGACTCAATATAATAAATATTATAAGGATTAAAATGAATAAAATATAAATAGTATAAATAAGCAAATGTTTTCTACTGATTGAATTAGTAATATACATATTTATTACTATTTTTAAACATGTAAGTGCTATTATGATAATTTTTTTCAGTTAATAGAAACTAATAGTACACTTATGTGAAGCTCTGATGTTTTTTTATATTGAAATGGGAGTCCCTTTTCCAATCTTTTTAGTGTATTGGCTTAGAACCTTTATTATTTACTTTTAGCATTCTTTTAAAATTTTGAGCCAAAATTCTGTGCCTCCCACACCCACTGAGAAGGCAAGCAATATGATATCAGTTATACATGTGAAATTATGCAAAACATTAACCATATTTCAAAAAAAACCCCAAGAAATGAAAAAGTTATACATCAGTCATTTTGAGTCCTTTGGAATTGTCTTGGATCATTATATCGATCAGAGTAACCAAGTCTTTCCCAATTGATCATCGTTACAACCTGCCGTTACTAGGTACAATGATCTCCTGGTTCTTTCATTTCACTTTGCATCTGTTCATATGGTTCTTGCCATGTTTTTCTGAAACCACACCTCTCACATGACTGATTCTTTTTAATATAAGTTGGGATTTAGGGTGGTCTTAAGATGATTTTTAAGGCTAGTTAAATGTGAAAGTGGAATTCTAGTCAATGAAAACATGATAGCAATAAAAAACTATACTGGATTTTCTAAATTTTGCAAAACTCCTTTTTGTATTCAGTTTTAATAGCACATTTTTGCTAATTGACATCTTTGGGAAAGAAACAGGCAATTAGAAATAATTTTGCATGTGGTGTTTAATTTCTTTTAAAACAGCAGACCTTGATTTTTTTGGTGTGAATCATTACACTTTTCTATTTGAGTCTCTTTTTTGGGTGCCATTTGGGAAGGCAATGCCACTTAACATATTTTCACTCTCAAAATGTGTTTTCTTAGATTGCAGTTAAACAGGGGAACCAACTGCAGATGAATGTCTATGAGAGGCATCATGCTGTAGATGAAGCCCCACAGCCTGGTTACAAGCATCCACAGGATCCACCTGGGACTGAAAAACAACCAGCTGTTCGGGCAGGGAAGAAACCACTTGCACATTACTCTTCATTGGTGAGAGCCCTGGGATCAGAGATGAGAACGCAAGAGGAACCCACAGCACAGGTGTGATGGAAATGGATCTGACTTCCTGGGAATTTTTTCCCTTCTTTCTGCTTCACTGTCTGTGATGTGTTCAAGGTTTGATGTATTCACGTGACTTTCCTTGAATCTTTATTGGGTTTGGGGGAGCTATCTTCTTATTTCTTGACTTATGTCTGATTTAAGAAGAAAAAAAAGCAACAGATTTTTGGGATGTGTTTTCTTCCTTACAGCTTTCACTCACTCCCTGTGAAGCTGACAAACCTCAAGATAAGCCACCAGACTGGTTCACAAGTTACTTGGAGATGGTGAGTATGTTTGCTGCAACAGTTTTCATACAAGATACGTGGAAAAACGGGGGTGGGGGGGGTGGGGGGGTGGAAGGAAAAGGGGAGAGATCTTTTAGGGGATAAAAAGAAGAATCTATAAGCACAGAAAGAGGATATTCAGGGTCTTAATCTTTGAGATTATTGTTTAGTACTTTCCTTGAACCAAATTAGCTATGGGAGGAATTCCTCTGTGCTGTGTTTTGGGTGCAGTTAGCCAGAAAGCCCTGGGATTTCAGATTAAATTGGTGCCATTTTTTTCTTTTCCCATTTTATATACCAAGATTACTTTTTTCTTCTGTCCTGGTTTCAGTTTAGAGAACAAGTGGTTAAAGAAACGGTTGAGAAGCTTGATCAGAAATTAAGGGACAAGTTGGTCCTCCAGGGTCCATCTTTGGAATCCTGCTCCTCAGCGTTATCCATGCCTGTTTCGGAAGAAACACTATCATTGCCAGGAAATCAATGTGACTGGCTTATGACTTGCAGCAATTGCCAAAGAAGAATCATCGGCATACGTTACCAGTGTAGGTGAGCAGCAGGAGCAGAGAATTGTTATCTGTTATTTACCTTAGGGCAAAAATACAGCAAATATATATTGAACATTAGTATATTTAGGGCACTTTGCTAGATGTTAAGGAAGATAAAAAATTTTACATATATCACAGTTGCTATGTTTATGGGACTTGCAATTAAATAAAATATTAACCTTCTTGGCCTCCTGCATATGTGTAGGAGAAAAGTAAGCTGGGCATAATACCTCAGATGTGAGCTTTGGATACTGAAATCCTGGCTCAGAAAATAGCAGTTATGCTTTTGTCCACACGTTACATAGACTATGTATTTAGCAGAGTAACCGATCAGGTCTGTATGATATTAGGCACTGGTGACTGAGCTAATGTACAGATCTGACTTCATGACTCAAAGATTCTTTCTACCTTTTGCCAGGTTGCATAGATTATTTTGGCTAGATATGCTCTTACTCTTAGTATCAGTAGGGCTAGTCAAAGTTTCTACTCCCAGTATTAAAAAGTAACAATAATAATAACATAGTCTTTGGTAATTTTCAAATTGTTCAGAGTGTTTTCTTTCATATATGTCATTCACCCTTTCCACAACCTATGAAATAGACGTGAGTAGACATTGTTAGTGCTGGGGAAATGGAGGTGATAAACATAAAATGGCTTGTGAAAGGACAAACAAGTTGATGACTCAGCAATGACTCAGAAATCTGGTCATTGCTATCCTGTGGCTCTTCCTACTGTGGCACTTCATCTTTTGTTAAATATGTGACATATTCTTTCTACAGCTTATGTCCCTCTTACAATATATGTGAATTGTGTGAAGCAGGGTCGTATACCCATGACCCTAACCATATCCTCTTGAAGCTACGGAGACCAATTATGGGTTCTTCTGAAACACATACTCACACAAAGCTCTCCCCTCCTCGTCTACCAGCTGCTATAGAGCAAGTCAGGTAAGGCCATGGATGTGGTGTTGGGAACTCAGTATGTTAGCTTGGCTTTGCTAATTGTGTATGTAGCCTCTCACTGGTAGAGATAGGGGTTGTTTCTCAATATCCAAAGGATTATTGCTAAGGCTTTCATTAATCTCTCATTTTACAGACTCCAGAAGCAGATGGACAAGAACTTTCTTAAGGCAGAGAAACAAAGGTTGCGAGCTGAGAAGAAACAGAGAAAGGCTGAAGTTAAAGAACTTAAGAAGCAGCTTAAGCTTCATAGGAAGATTCATCTGTGGAACTCTATCCATGGGCTGCAGAGCCCCAAATCGCCTCTTGGTAGGCCAGAGAGCGTCCTTCACTCAAGCACTCTAATGTAAGCAGAGGCCCTTAAAGGCTGCCTAGGGCTTTCTCTCTAGTTCTCCAGAATAATAAATTTTGGGGTCAGAGGTCAAGTTTGGACCTATACTTGGGGAGGGAGGTAGGGGGTTAGCTTACTTTAAAGCTTCTAGAACCCAAACCTTTTAAAATGCTCAGTTTTCTGAACAAAGTTTTACGTTGTTGTGTTGTTGTTTTTTTTTTATTGTTGTGATGACTGCTGAAAGTATAAAAGCCCTTTCCAAGAAAATTCAAAGTCATTAAGGGTCCAGAGTACATGGGACTGTCATTCCTGTTGACCAGCTGTGCAATCACTGTATGTCAGAGTGTAGAAGAGAAATTATAAGTGTCTGGCTCTGTAGTGGTTTTATTTACAGTTACTTTTATTTATTGTAACATTAGTTTTCTGTCTCAAATGTCAAATGTACACTTTGGCTTTTTTTTTTTAAGGGTAGCCTCTTTGTTCACTGTGCTGGGTATTCATAAGACGTCATATTAGTAAGAGAATTAATGGATAGATATCCTAATCTGTGTGCAGGCTCCCCATGCAACCTTGTGCTCCAGTTGTGCCAACTCTGAGTGCAGCATTTGTGGATGAGAATGTGCCAGATGGGACCCACCTTCAACCAGGAACCAAATTTATCAAACACTGGAGGATGAAGAATACAGGAAATGTCAAATGGAGTGCAGAAACAAAGGTATTTCCTTTACAGACACGAACATAGAATGTGAGTTTGGAGTGGCAGAGGGCTTAATTGATTATTTTTCTTTGTTCCATTATTTTCTTTTTTCAGCTGAAATTCATGTGGGGAAACCTAACATTGGCTTCTACTGAAAGGAAGGATGTTTTGGTGCCCTATTTAAAAGCTGGCCATGTGGGAATTGTGTCTGTTGAGTTCATAGCCCCAGCCTTGGAGGGAACCTATACTTCACACTGGCGCCTTTCTCACAAGGGTGAGCAGTTTGGGCCCAGGGTCTGGTGCAGCATCATTGTGGACCCTTTCCCTACTAGAGAAAATCTTGAAGACAATGAAAAAGTCTCTTTCAGCACCAACAAAGTTGATGATCTCTCCTGTCAGCAAGAGGCAAGTATTGTCAAGCTTTGACCCTGTACCTTTTCCTGGTGGTGGCTCTCTTCTCCTGTGGCTTTCCCCGACACTTGTATCCTGCAGTGGTCTCTCCTTGACCCTCTTCTTCTTTTTAGACTCTAATCTTCGCTCCTCTCATGCTGAAATTCAGCTGTGCCTTCCATGATCTCTAGACCCGTATTTCCAACTGTCTCCCCTGGATGCTGTCTTTACTTGGGTCTTCCACTAGCAGCTCAAACCCAGGATCTCCCAAAGCAAACTTATTATTGATCCCTCTGAAACTGTTAACTTCTTTTGTCTACTCTTTATGTCCATGGTACCACCACTCACCCAGGGTCCCATGTTAGAAACTTTGCTGCTGCCTTGCCACTTTCTCATCTGGCACATTCAGCCTGCTGGTTATCAGATTTTCTCCTCCTTTGTAACCCTTTCCAGCATTTATCCCCTCCTCTTTTCCCCACTGCCACCAGCATAGTGCGTAAGCTTTCCTTCCTACCTGCCTACCTGGATTTTTGTAGTAACCTTCTAATTATAGGTCTTTTTGTGTTCACTCTTTCCTCATTGTTCATTCAAATGCCTAAATAATTTTCTGTATGCATAGAGCTAATCAATCAATTGCTTAACAAACAGTTACTAAGCACCTGCCAAGTGCCAAGCCTAATAGTGCTTAATGCTGGGATTACAAAGGTATCAATGAGGGAAGCAACATATATACGTATAAGTAGATTGTTCAGTCGTTTCAGTTGTGTCTCCTTGTGACCCCATTTGGGGTTTTCTTGACAGAGATACTGAGTGGTTTGCCATTTCCTTCTCCAGCTCATTTTCCAGGTAAGAAAACAGGCAAACAGGGTTACATGACTTGCCCAGGGTCACACAGTGTCTGAGGCTGGATGTGAACTCTGGAAGAGGAGTATTCCTGACTAGACACAAAATACATATAAATTAATTTGGGTCGGGGAAGAGGGAGGAGGGACTAAGTCATTGGGAGAATCAGGTAAGGCCTCAGGTTAGAGGTGTGGCGTGAGCTGAGCTTTGAAAGAAGCTGGGGCTTCGTAGAAATAGAGGTTTGGGGGAAGGAGTATTACAGGCATGAGGCAGGGCCATCCTTTGCCAAAGCACTGAATCAGGACATGGAATGTCATGTGTGAGGGGAGTCTAGAGTGTGGGAAGAGGAATAAAGTGGAAGGAGTGTAAAGAGGTAGGCTCGAACCAAATTGTGAAGGGCGATAAATCCCAAAGGAGTTTGTAGCTGATCCTAGAGACGATAGGAAGCCACTGGAGCTTCTTTAGGTAGGGAGTGACATGGCCTGGCCTTTGCTTTAGAAACATGTTGTTGGCTGCTGTGTGGAGACTCGATTGGGGAAGGGACAGACTAGAGACCACTCAGGAGGCTTTTGCAGTAGTTCAGTGGACAAGTCACTTAATCTGTCGAATGAGGGAGTTAGTCTAATTCAGGGGTTCTTAAAACCGTTTTTTGTGTCATGGACCCTTTGGCCAGCCTGGTGAAACCATTGAGTCTTTAGAATAATGTTTGTTGCTTACATTCATAATTGGAGAAAAAGCTAAATTTTAGTGAAAATAAAGGTGTAATTTTTTTCGTCTCCAAATTCATGGACTTTCAGAAACCACAGACTCTAGGTTAAGAACCCCTGGTTTAAATTACTCCTAAGGTGTCTTCTAGCTCTCAATCCTAAGAGGCTGTCTCAGTTCCTCTTCTAAAAAATCTTCAGGCAGTTTCCCATTGCCTACTAAGTAAATTTCAGACTCCTTTGTTTCACATTCAAGGCCTTCAGCAATCTGACACCACTTTACCTTTCTAACCTTGGCTCCTATTACTCATTTCTGTTCACTTAATGCTATAGACAAACTATCCCCAAACATACCCTGTACTTTCCAGACCCCATGCCATTGTTCACGCTGTTCTCTTATTTCTGAAATGCCCTTTCTCCTTCATTTACATACTGAATTCCTAGTCATTCTTCTTAAGCCATCTCAAATGCCATCTCTTCCAAGAAGCCTTCCCTTATTCTTATTCCCCTATTAATAATGAATTTCTTACCCATATAGCACTTTGTTTAACCACTTTTTTTTTCCGGAAAATTAACCCATTTTGTTGATGCATTATAATTGCTCTACATTTTATCATATTACATTGAAAATGCAAGCTACTTTGCAAAACCAAACATTAAATTCAAAGATAAACTATGTTTTGCGCAATGTACCCTTTTCCCATTTGTTGTTGTTTAGTCGTGTCCAACTCTTTGGGACCCTGTGGATCATCACATGCCAGGCCTTTCTATCCTCCATTGTCCTTTTACCATAGTTAAAGTATTAAGTTTAAAAAGTTAAATGTCTATATTAAGCTTTTAAAATATTGATATTTCCTTTGTTAAAATTATTATTTTACATATCCCTTAAGTACATCTGCAGTACAAATCAGTAGTTCTCAAAAACTACCTCTTTCTAGAGGGTTTTTTTGGGGGGGGTGAGGCAATTGGGGTTAAGTGACTTGCCGAGGGTCACACAGGTAGTGTTATGTGTCTGAGGCTGAATTTGAACTCAGGTCCTCCTGATTCCAGGGCCAGTGCTCTATCCACTGCACCACCTAGCTGTCCCTCTAGAGGTTTTTAAAAGGAAGAGCACAACCAGAAAAAGGAAGAAGGCAAGGAATAGCACACAAGAGATGGCATATCAAATACATTTAATAAAATACGAATTTCATTGCAATACCAAGGACTCAAAACAAATACTGTTTTTCAAGTTGAATCTGAAATCACGTATTATGTAAACTTTAGAAACAACCACCCATGTAGATGTGCTGCACTATCCATCAGTTTTTAAAAATAAATAAGGAAGCAGGCTCAGGCCTTGTCCCTAAGCAAACTATCCTAACCAATGGATTCTGCGTAACAGTGATGAAATGAGACGTGTAGATTACCGTGCACAGCCGGCTGAGGCAGCTCTGATTTTTCTGACTGCAGGTGAACAGACAGATAAAATAGATGCCATTTCAGAACCACAAGAACTGGCTCGAGATGCATTTCTCCATGAGGAGATTCCCAACCCAGGACTGATAGTCACTCTGTTACCCCATGAGAACACTCAGACTCTGGAGCTTTTGCCACTTTCTAACATACTTCTCATATAATACTGCGTATTCTAGTTATGTGTTTCATTTTACCTCCTTACTAGACAATGAGATTGATAAATTTGGGGACCATGTTGTATCTAAACTTTGTATCTTTCTGAGTGCCTGCTATAGTGCTGTAGAAGTAATAAGTACTTAGTAAATATTTTGTCAAACCATTGAGTTACTCAGAATAAAGGAGTTATTCTAAGGTGACTTAGAAGCTTCCTAAGTGACTATATAAGAGTATTTTCCTGGACATGAAGAACCAACTTCCACTCGTCAGGATAGTCACACGTTTCCGGCTTGCTTAGTTCCAGTGACCTGAGTTTGAGCTGCCATTAAGTTTCTTTGCATCTCTATGTAATTTGGACCATTATTGGAAATACTTTAATTCTGAAATATTGAGAGAAATCCCGGCCTATGCTGACCTGTGGGTTTATGTAACCTTGAGAACATAGCTCTTTTTGGCTTCCATTAAATTGTCATTTTCATTTCTGCTTCGTGCAGGGACTTTTGCCAGGCAATTACCCTACTTTAATGGCTTCATTTTTGTTTTCTAAATTTTGGGGGGTATATGAGGGTGAATAATTTCAGACTACTTACAGATTTCTAGTGAGGGTCTGAAGTTTATCCTGTTGGGTTCCACAGGAGGCCTTCCCACTTGCTGAAGAGGAAATTCAGATTGATGAAGTGACAGAGTCAACAGAGGGAGCAGAAACTCGCATCCCACGGAAGATCAAAAGTGAGAGGGAGCTCTACATCCCATCCGTGGACCTCCTCACTGCCCAGGTAGAAGAGGGAATCCCTTTGAGGGATGGGGCAGGGAGAGTCCTGGGAAAGAAGTTTTTATAGCTCTGATGAAAAAAAGGAGACTTACTAAGAATTGATTTGAGAACGTAAAGGCTATATCCACTCTTGACTCATGATTTCCATGGATAATGTTAGGATCACCCATAGTTCGGGCTTTTTTGGGGGTCCCTATATAACCCATGGCTGGTAGCTTTCACCGCATGAAAATGTGGCAGAATGAACCAGTTTCTCTTGGATTTGGGACGGTCATCCCCTACCCCTATATAACCTTCCTTTAGTTGCTGTTCTTTTTGGCTTTTTGGTGAGGCAGTCGGGGTTAAGTGACTTGCCCAGGTTATACAGCCTAGTAAATGTCAAGTGTCTGAGGCTGGATTTGAACTCAGGTCCTTCTGATTCCAAGGCCAGAGCTCTATCCATTGCACCACCTAGCTGCCCCTAGTTGCTATTCTTGTCACATAGCCAGCCCTTCTACACTAGATCGCATTTCCTTTCTCCTCCTTTCAGAACAGTTAATGGGGGCAGCTAGGAGGCGCACATAACACTTACTAGCTGTGTGACCCTGGGCAAGTCACTTAACCCCATTGTTTAACCAAAAAAACCCAAAAAACCATTAATGGCTCAATTTCAGTTTAGCCTTTCTCTTTCAGCTTGGGGTGGAAGGCCATGAGTTAGAGGGGAAGAGAGTCTTGGGTGATATGGTACCAGGGTTCTGTGTGGGCTGTTGAACAGAGAGAAGTCTTGGCACCATCATGGTGCGATAGCCCCACTAACGTTGTCCATGTTTTTTTCCAGGATCTGCTGTCATTTGAGTTACTAGACATAAACATTGTTCAAGAGCTAGAGCGAGTGCCCCACAACACCCCAGTAGGTAAGAATGCCACTAAACTCACGTTTTTCATTTTCATAGGCAGCTGCCAGGTACACAGGTACTGCAGCTGAGGCTTTATGAAACTTGATATTTTACTATAAGAAAGTGGATTTTGGAGATTGGTTCCTTTTCTAGAGTCCAGCCTCATATCAGAGGTGCTTAGTTCTAAGAGATGTGACTCCTTTTCACCCATTGTCTATCAGAGGCTATTTTACACATCTGTGAGTCTTCTTGCATTGAGTGGAGTTCTACTTTATATTGTGTCTAGATTGTTTTGGCTAAAGCCTGTATCTACTTCTTCCTTTACATCAGGATTTATAGTTGCTTACCTTTGTCATTGACATCTAAGAAGGTGTTTGTCTGCTTCTGATATTTCCTACGTTGGTCTGTCAGAGGGGCTTGTGCAACTAGTGTCCTGGGCTCCTTGAACTTGAGAGGTGGCAAGAAGTTTGTGGCTATTTCTCACCTTTAGCAGTGACTTATGTTTGAAAGATGATACTTTTTTCTTGGTTGATTGTTTTCCTGTTTCTTGTTCAGATATGACCCCCTGCATGTCTCCTCTACCACATGACAGCCCTTTGATAGAGAAACCGGGTTTGGGACAGATACAAGAGGAGAGTGAAGGGACAGGATTTAAAGTGCTTCCTGGTAAGAGAATGTGTATGAATGTATATTTATAACCTTCTGCTACCCCATTAAACTTGTCTCAGTGCTTGAGAGATGTTTCTGTACCACATGAAGTCCCTTCACCTTCAGGTGACATTGATAGCTGCTGCTTCTTGTTTAGCCTATTATTGCAGGTGATGAGTGTGAATTGGACCAAACTCTTGCATGTGTTAAGTACAAAGTGCTTACAAGGATTTGCTCTTTTTCAGATTCCACAGTGGCATCAGGGAATAAGGCTGAGAATACTGTTCCTGCAGAAGAAGGTGAAGAAGACCTGAGTGGGACCCAGTTTGTCTGTGAAACTGTAATCCGCTCCCTTACCTTGGATGCTGCCCCTGACCATAACCCACCTCGAAGACCCAAGCCCCTGCAGAGTGAGTATGTGAGCAGCTTCTGCTCACTTCCTTCTACCAGTTTAGTGGCAGTGCGGGGTTAAAAGTGTCTTATCCATACACTGATGGTGAAGGTAAAGGACTTTGATTATGATTGTACTCTTGTTTATTCATTAGGCTCTCTGCATATGCTGCCTGACAACATCAGTTATGGTACCAGGAGTGAAGAAACCATCAGAACTCGGTTCTCCCCTTCTCTTGAAGAAGAGCCACAGCCCCAGCTCATTGAGGAGAAGCAGCTCGTCCAGTCAGATGACTTCAGCAAAGACAAATCCTCACGTGAGTCCAAGAGTCTCTTCAGAGTAGGTCTTGGGGTTTGGAGGAGTAGTACAGGAAATTATGGCAGCAGCCACAGGCAAGGAGAATTTTTTGGGTGAGAGCGTACATTTTTACTTAATGTCTAGAAGTCAGATCTCACTATGACTAAAACCATTATATCAAGACAGAGTCTAAGCCAATGGCTGATCTGTTTCCAATAATGCCTAACTTACAGTAAAGTTAAAGAATTTGGTAAGGCTACATTTCTTATAATGAAATTTAGTCTATATTCTCTACTGAGAATGACCTTGAAGACCCATAACAATAATTGTGACCTTCTTTAAATGGGTTACCCCAGGATTCACCATCTAGAATTTTTTTTTCAACCTTTTAATGGTTGCAGTAAACCAACAGGCAGATTTTTGTTCTGAACTCCTGTCTCAGAGCAGTCCTAGTGATGGCCCTTCTCCTTGTGGATGGCTACTCCTCATTTTAAGCTCCATCTGTCATGCTTCTTTGAAGTGCATTTGTCTTATTCTCCTGAGCTGTGTTCTCTCCAGTCCTTTCTGTCCTGACTAGAACATCACCCTGATTCGGCCAGCAGGCAGCCTGCTTTTGGTCTTCCATCGCCACTTGGATTCCCGTTTCCAGCCTGTGCCTCATGCTTTGCTCTGACTAGCAATGTGACATGCTTACAGAACAGCTAAACGTTGGTTGCTTTCATCCTTTAGCACATTCCATTCTTCCTGAGGAGAGACTGATGAGTGATGAAAAAAAGGACACTGTCCAGGTGGTGGAGGATGAAGAGGAGGAGGAACTTAAAGATGAAGTCCGAAGTCAAGGCTCTTCTGCTTCTTCTGAGGATTACATCATCATCTTGCCTGAGTGCTTTGATACAAGCCGCCCCCTGGGGGAGTCCATGTATAGTTCTGCTCTCTCACAGCCAGGCCTGGAGCGGCTCATGGAGATAGAGCAGGTGGTCAAGGCTGAGCAAGAGCCAGCTGAGGCTTATGAAGGGCTTCCTAGAGGGGAAAACCAGCAGCAAGGGCACAGCATCAATGATATTCTGACAACATCACAGACTCTGGATGCAGTGCTTCTCACTCCAGAGGTGGTGGGGCCTCCAGGACAGCTGTCCAGGTATCATTTGCCCTTCCCCTCAGCTGGATGCTGGGAGAAAGGTCAACCAGTTCTTGAAATATGTTTCTTCACCATGGGAACAGTTTTTTTCCCTCCCACTTGGCACAGTATGGATATAGATGCTATACTTCCCTGTACCACTTGATCTTTAACTTTAAAAAAATTTTTTAACCAACATTAAATTAAAGGCAAATTAGATAGTTTTTTGTATGGATTAGAGGTCTACTTCAGTTTGTCTACAAAAGAAGGTTTTACCAGCTAGCTTCTCTCTCGATACTTGGTATGAGGTTAAGCTTTCTCTCCCTTATTGTTATTTGGTTCACAGATGGAGGCAGTGAAAACAGATTAGCATAAACAGTTCATAATCAGAAAGTTAAATCTGCTGTAGAAAAAGCATAATGCATTTTAAAGCAAATGTATAAACTATTTATACATTATCCCCTTCACTGATCAATTAGCATGGAAGGTAATCAAGAATTTACTGTAATTATATCAACTCCTTTAGTGAGGCAGGAGTTAGAATTTGTCGTTATTTAATACGTATTCAAGTCAGCAACATTGTTTACTGTGTGCTAGGCACTAGGAAGTAAAGGTATTGTGAACACTATGTCTGAAAAAGGAAGCCAGTGCTATTAGAACTTAACTCTGAGCCCTCTGGTGAGACCCGAGTTCTAGGTCACCCTGGGGTCAGGCAGCCCAAATCAAGATTAGAGCATTCCCTGTGCATTTGTGTTGTGCTGATTTTATCCTCATTACAACTCTATGGGTATCTCACAGTTCATTTCAATGTTATTTTTTTGGAAGCAGTCCTTCATCTCTTCGGAATACTAATTCTGCAGAAACAGATTTGCCAGTTACCATTCAAGAATTTTCTCCAGTTCCTGATCAAGTAAGAGGAGGTACTGATAAGCTAGTGCTTTTTCCTTCTTCACTACTTTCAATAGGAGATGCTGAATAATCCCAGGAATGTTTGTTTCTTGTACTTTTATTTCTGTTCTTCCCAAACTTAGGTTTATTAAATTTGAAGAGATTATGGGGAGTATGCTACATATCTAAAGTATTTAGACCATTAATTTGTATGACAGGATCAGAGGGATTTTTTTTTAACTGGGGACCTATCCAATTATTAGCTGCTTTGCCATTTATCCAAATCCACAGAATTTCCCAAAAAACGTATTTTAGAGGGGAAAAAAATACTCAGGTCCCCAAAATAGCTACTAAGGGAATTTGGGAAATTCATTTTTGTCTTTTTGTTGCTGTCTCTAACCAATAATTCTTTTGCTTTCAGAGCCCAGGGCTTCATCAGGACTTGTAAATAGTAGACAGAAGAGCTATGAAAACTCAAGGTAACTGGACCTTGTACAGTCTCCTCTTCTGAAGCAATTGGATAGCCCTTAATGTATTTTTCATTTTAAGAGTGCCTATGCCAGTGTCTAGAGAGCAATGAAAGCAATCCATTATTCTTGCATTTCCATTTCTCCTAAAATGGTTGGGCAGTACATTGAACTTAAAAAGCAAAAGTTATTGTGTAAGATCTTTGACCTTCCCAGACCAGGAACGTCCCCCATTCACCCTACCCCCAACACATATATACACATAAAATCATGTCATTATGGTCAGGGTAGAGACCAGAAAGGTCTCTTAGTACAATGGCAGGAGCAGTGATATGGAGTCAGAAGAACACTTACTACCTGTGTGACCTTTGACAAATACTTATCTGGGCCTGAGTTTCCTTATTTGTAAGATAAGGGGTTGGATTGGATGATCTCTAGGGCACACCCTCCTCCCCCAATCTCTGATTCTAAAGCAGGAAAATTGATTGTAGTTAGTATGTGGGAAACAAACCTTTCCTCTCATAAGTTCCTAACTTTATTTTTGCCCTGACTCCCCATCCTTAAAAATCATCTTCCTATTTCATTGAGAAGATTGAGGACCCCTGATGGTTACATTTGAAACTCTTCTCTTTCACACTTCTCAACATTATCACTCATTCTTTACTCTGGCTTCCTATTTCAGAGTACATGTATTCCTTGCCCCTTGCTGAGGCCATTTCTTCTATTCTGCACTGTATCCCACCCCTTCTTATCTCTTCCAGAGTCCCTTCAGTCTACTTCAGTAGTCAGCTCCCCTTTCTTTCCCATCTTCAGTTTTTCCCTTCAGTCTGGCTTCTTTTTATCTATAAACATATTCAGATCTCTCCAGTCCTTTAAAAAAAAAAGCCTTCCTTTATTATCCAAGTTCACTCCTGCCCTTTATAGCCAAACTTATAGAAAATTGTCTCCACTGTCCTTTCTGTGACCCCTCACAAAGCTGCCTTTGACCTTTACCAGTCTCCTGAAACTGTTCTCTTCCAAGGTCACCAGTCGCCACCTAATTACAGATCCAGTGGTGCTTTTCTCTATTCTTGTCCTCCTGGACCTCTCTGCAGCCTTTGATATTGTTGTCGACCACTACATTCTTCTGTGGACTCTCTTCCTTTGGCTTCCAGTGCAGCAAACTTCCCCAGATTCCCTCCTACCCCTTACCTGCTCCTTCCCTGCCTCTCACTGGCTTCTCTTCCTTTTCCTAACATCTTAAGGCTTGTATACCACAAGATTTTGTCCTCATCCTCTTCACTGTGTGTGTGTGTGTGTGTGTGTGTGTGTGTATACACACGTGTACACACATACATGTATGCATATACCTGTATATGCGTGTATAGATACCCTCAGCTATCTTTTTCACATGCACACTTTCAATTATGAGTCCTATGCAGATGACCCTACATTTACACCTCCAGGCCTGACCTCCTACTGAGTTCCCTGTCCACATCTCCCCCTTCCTATGGGACATCTCGACCTTCCTCTGTCATTAGCACCTCAAACTTAATGTCTTCATGGTTTAGCTTACCTCACCCCTAGAAACCTGTTCTTCGTGTTTCTATCTATGATGTCATTATTCCCCCCACATGCTCCCACATTTGAAATTGATACCATCTTTGGCTTTTCTCTACTCCTTGAATCCAATTAGTTACCAGATCTTGCTGATTCAGTCTTTGAAGTCTTTCTCAACTCTATCCTCTAATGTCTTATCCCACTGCCACTCTAGAGTATGGTATAGTCTTCATTGCCAACTACCTGGATTATAGCAATAGTTTTTATGACAGGTTGTTTCTGGTTCTATTATCTTTCCCCTGAAAGCCATCTTTCACACTTATTTTCCTTATGTATAGATCTAATATGACCCTTGTGCTCAAAATTTTTCAGTGACTCGCTATTCAAGGCCATCTACAATCTAGGGCTACAGCTGTCCTTTTCCAAAAGCTCAATCCTCATATCATACTGAACTGCTTGTCATCTAAATATACCCTGCCCTTTCCTCTCACTGGGCCTTTACTTATATTTTTCTCTAAACCTGAAACGCCCTCCCTTTTTCCAACTTACTGATTTTTTTATTGGCCCTTTAAAATACAGCCAAAATACTACCTTTCTTTGTCATAATTCCATACTGCTGTCCATACTAATTCCATTTTTGTCCAGAATTCCATAAACTCTAATCTCATTGAAAGGTGGTTTTGGGTTTTTTTTGTTTTTGCAAGGCAGTCAGGGTTAAGTGACTTGCCTAGGGTCACACAGCTAGTAAGTGTCAAATGTTTGGTCTGAGGCTGGATTTGAACTCAGGTCCTCTCAATTCCACGGCTGGTTCTCTATTCACTGTGCTACATAGCTGCCCCTTAAAATGTGTCTTTTCAAAAGTTCTGGCACAATACTCTTTACACAGTAGATCCTTAAATCTTTGTTGAATTGAATTCTCTTTGGGAATTCTGTTGATTGACATTTCCACTGCTTTAGTATCAGAGTTGGCTTTCTCTTTGTAGAATACTGATTGAGAGATGCTTCTCTTGGATTAACTCAGAATAACTGCCACTTGCCCTTCTTTCTCTCCTCCCCCTTTCCTTCCTGGCATACACTTGGTGTCACAGGTATGGGGTTACTAGCCTGTAGAATCAGATTTCTTTAGTACAGTATTTGTTGCTTGCAACTGTGGAACTGAGTCTTCTAGAGTTGAACCAAAATGTGAACTTGAAAAACAGATATGAAGTTACCTAAGTGGATTTTCTTTTTAAAGGCGTATGTGTGTGTGTGGTGGTGGTGGTGGTGGTGTTGTGTTTGAAGAAATCCTTTTTTTTTTTTTTTTTTTGGAAGGAATCTATTTGGAGTCCAGAGTATCTTGTGGAATGGTTTTTGTTTTCTTTATCTGTTGGAGATAGCTTGGTTTTTCTTCCACAGGTACTACCATGGGAGTAGCATTACTGGAGGGCTGGTGAAGGGTGCTATGTCTTTTGCTGCCTCTGCCTACAAGGCCCTATTTGCAGGGCCACCAGTCACTGCTCAGGTCAGTGTGTATGTTACTTTCTTCAGCTGTCCCCAGGTCACTAGTGGATATATTTGTCCCGATTCCATTGTAGAAAGCCATAAAAGCATCAGAAAGGTGTTCTTAAATAGTTCTTTATCGAGATCTTTGGATAGCTGTCCCATTTCCATCTCAGTCTCTCATTTTTTTCTTCCTTTCTGCCCCATAATCATTACCTTGAAAGTATGTTTCCAAAACTCCTTTTTTTCTTCCCTCTGGCTCCTTAAAGAGTAACTACCAATTCATATTTCTTTCTGAATTATCCTTTCTTTTGAAATATTGAGAGACAGTACACTCTAATGAAAAGAGTATTGACTTGGGGTCATAGGACCTGATATATCTGGGTCTCCTACTTACAAGGTCATCTGAGCAGATCACCTAAACTCTCTGGGCCACAGTTTCTTCATCTAAAATGAGGGGACTGGACTAGATCAACTGTCTATTTCTTCCCTGTTGGTCCTGGCCCCCCAGTTTTCATTGCTACACATAAACTCAAAGGGGGCTTATGTTGTGTTTTCAGAAGATGTTTTGAATGTGCTAGAGGTATGCAGAGTGTGTGTGAAGGAGGAAATGCTTGAATAAATTATAAAGGAGTGGTTTTGTTACTGCTTGTGCACAGCCTCTAGTTTCTGAAGATCAGACAGCAGCCCTGATGGCCCATCTGTTTGAAATGGGGTTCTGCGACCGGCAGCTGAACCTGAGGCTGTTGAAGAAGCACAACCACAACATCCTGCAGGTTGTGACTGAATTACTGCAGATCAACAACAATGACTGGTACACGCATCGCTATTGAGGAGCTGCCTTCGACTTGAGGGAACTGTTGTATTAAATAACTCAGCCTGCTGCTCAGAGATGACTTTATTCTGTTATTGGGGTGTGGGGTAGAAGGACCTTGCTTCCTTATTTTTTAACCTGAAGAGTCTGATATGTAGTTCATCGTTGCAACTTCATCATCTGCATCGCAGTATTCTTTGTATCCAATCAAAGACCAGAACTTAAATTTTTACTTTAGACTGGATTGGTAGGAAGACAATTTAAAAATTGATTTGGATTATGACTCTTTCTTTCCGTACTATTTCTCCCTTTTAGAGAGCATTGAAGACAATGGTTTGAACTTTATTTAGAACGAATGTTTTCCTTGTACTGAAGTTGAGTATGTTTGTCTGGTTTTGATATTTTTGTCTGGTTGGTTTTGATGTGTTGTGGTGTAATATGAAAGCCCCTGGGAAGAGAGGCTGCTATCAAGTTAGCCTCATAGCTCCTTTAACAGCCTCACTCCGGGTGTTGAGATGACATCCAAGCCTAGTACTGCTACTACCACACAAAGTATACTTGATGAAGAAAAAACTGATAGCAGTCACTGGAAAGTCTGTTTTCCAGAGATTCCCAGTAACATATTAAAGAATAACCACCTTCTTCATTCCTGCATTTCAGTAGTGGTAAGAGATAGGAGGAGTTAACTCACCAGCACCTACTGAGCAGCATCAATTGTAGTAATTTTACGTACTTTTTTCTTTAAGGAAAAATTTTTAAGAAAAATAGGTAGGATAAAATATTTTGCTAACATAACTAGAAGATGGGGGGAGGTCATTTTAATGAATACCTTTCCCCCCAGATGATGATGGAGAGATCCTCTTATTTTTTGAGAGAGTAGGGAAAAAATAGGAATATTTTAAAAAGAGAGAGGCTGGGTCCTATATTAATTCCAAATGAGAGTATGTGGCACAGGAGTACTTGTCTTTTAACTGGTCAGAAGTAGCATTTGGGCCAATAAAATAGAAAGGATGGTGTACAAGTGGATTTTGCAGAGTGCCCTGGGATAGTTCAGCAATGTTCTGGTTGTGAAGTTGGACAAAAGGTTTGGTTTTAGCCCCATTTGGGTAGAGGTAAAGTGTTTGGATTCCAGCTCGTCTTGGGTGTGGTCTGAGGATGGGAGAAGTAGGGTGTAATCTTCTAGAAACCTTACTGAAATATTCATGATGAGAAAGAAGAGTCCAGCCCTGCCGGGGTATTTGATTCAAGGAGGGTGGGATTGGATGTTAAATAGTGTTATTTACCTGGTTGGTATTTATAATTAACAGGATGATTATAATAAATCATTAGCCACGAATAAGGAAAAATTATTTACAGTATAACCCAGAATGCTATTAAATAAAGCTGTGGGATGCAGATTGTCTGGTCAGGAAGCCTGTTTTCTTATTTAAAACTTATTTTTATATAGGGGCTCCTAGGCAGAGGGCGGACGATCAGGGCACCTGGGACCTGCCGTTTGAGGAAGGGCCTTTTGGGCAGCTCGGGCCCACGCGGGCTTTACGGAGGGGTCTAGGTGGGCGCCCCGGGGCTGGGCGGCGCACCTCTGCAGCTGTAACGCTACCTGAGGTTGAAATAGCCTAATAAAGGTCGCTTGAGCTCAGCCTGGGCTGCTTGATCGGGGAGGGGGGGGGGAAATGGGGATGGGGGAGGGGCGACTCCGGCGGGGGTGGGGCGGAGCCCGGGAGAAGGTCGCCCAGTCTGGGCTCGGGGTGGCTCCCGAGGGCGGGGCTCGCACTCCGGTCCTTGGGCTTCGGTCTCGGCGCATCAGCTGGCCCCAGAGCCGGGCATTCGGCGCTCCCGCCTCCACCACTTCCGCCGCCGGGTAAGGAGCTCGTGGGTCCTTCCGGCTGCCCTGCCCGAACTCCCGGCCCCACGTTGGGGCCGCGCTCCCTCCCCACTACCCGTCTCCCAGCAGGTGGGCAGTGGGTATCTGGAGGCATGTGGTGAGCGGGAGGGGGCGGGGCTGGAGACACCCCCATCCCTATCTGAAACTGCTAACTTGGCTGGGCCCACGCCGGCCGGGCCCGCTGCCCTGGGTGCACCGGCACGTCCCCGAGCCGCGGCATCCCGGGCCACGCGCGCCTGGCCTGGACCAGAAACCCCGCACAGGTGTCACCTCCACGTTCCCCCGGTTCCCACCCCGCTTGGGAGAACGGAGGCTTGGGGAGGGGGGACTGATCACAGACGCCGCACCCCACCCCCTCCGGAAAGCACAGGTCGGCTCCCTGCGGCTCCCACCCCCAGGAATCCTGGGGAGCAGGTCACCCATCCCCAGCGCCCGCCTAAGCCTCTGCTTGCTCCCCCAAGTCTGTGACGTCTCAGCTTCCTCTAGGGAAGAAGAACTTTCGCTGTGGGCTTGGGGCTGCCGCCAGTTCTCAGTGTTTTCAACAGCTGCCACGGGGCTCACCCACCAGCTTTATCCCAAAGGAACAAAAGGAGCTTTCCGGCTCTCGCTCTCCCAACCCCAGCCCCCCGCACTTCTTTCCTTTCAAGAAATCAAACCCAACTTACTGTCTAGAAAGGCACTGCTCTCTGTTTGTGTTCGTTTCTACGCACGAAAACAACTTCTGCTTTTGTTGTTCTCAGAAAACGAAAGAAGTTGGAATGATGGAAGGTTTTTGATACGACAGAGACGACCGTATGTATAAACGAATCGTTTTCATTTACTTGTCAACTTTTATACAGGGCAGGAAAGAAAAAAGGTTAGAGCCCTCTTTTCACCAGGAGGTGGGGAGTACAGGTGCAGAATGTTGCACCCGACTGTCAGGTGTCTCTATGTTGATTGGTTTCGCTTAATTGTTTTTCTTTTTACAAGAAAAGGCTCGTTTCAGAAGGGTGCAATATATCCAGATTACATTTGCAAAACCAAAAAGCATCAACGAAACTTTAAAATAAAAAGGATAGAAATTAAAGTTTCAACTGTGTGAAGCAGTAAGGGGATTGAAGGCGTTTGTGGCATTTTCTTACTTACCAATCTGGCTAGAGAAGGGAGGAAGCTTTCAGGAAAATAAAGAAAAAGCCAGGCAGCCTCTACAATCCTTTCCGCTTAAGTTGCAAGGACAAAAACTCATCATAAAACTTTGTACTTTTCCCACAAGTGAAAATCTGCTTCGTGATGGGTGAGACAGTCTCTAGGTTTGGCTCTCAGGATAGTGAGAGCAAATCTATCCTGCCCCAGGACTCAGCTGTTGGTAGTGAAGCCTCCAGTCATTCTGTCATCAACGGCAGCGACTCTGTTCTCTCCTGTGCGCCTTGTACAGCTGACTCAAGCTTTGTGACCTGCCCTACCTGCCAGGGGACAGGGGAGATCCCAAGTGGTGAGTTTTTCCCTTACCTGAGCTTGGAACTTCCCCTGTAAACCAATAAGAGCTTTCATAGAGCAAGCTGGGCCTGAGTCTGGTTCCCTTTAGGTGTCCTGTGTCCATAGTTGTCCCTAACTTTTGGCTATCCATTCTTCATGGACAGGTAGATTCTGATGAGATTGCCCAAGCTGTAACCAGGGGGTTTTGTGCCTGGGGAGGTGAGGGAAGGGGAGATAAGAGACAGCTGTTTCCTTGAGTGTTGCTCTGATTATAGGAAGGACTCATGCTTTGAGATCCTAGTGCTGCTCTTTAAATTTTAGTGCCCTAGAATAAATCAGTGAAGCATTTATTTTAAATTATTTTAATTTCACTTCCACAAGATTTTGAGTTCCAAATTTTCTCCCCCATCCCTCCCCTTTTCCCACCCCAAGATGAGGTGCATTCTGAACACTTCTTCCTCTGATCTGCCCTCCCTTCTATCACCCCCCTCCCCTTCTCTTATCCCCTTCCTCTTCTATTTTCCTGTAGGGCAGGATAGATTTCTATACCCCATTGCCTGTATATCTTATTTCCCAGTTGCATGTAAAAACAATTTTTAACATTTGTTTTTAAAACTTGGGCTTCCAAATTCTCTCCCTTCCTCCCTCCCCACCCACCCTCATTGAGAAAGCAAGCAACTAGATACAGATTATACATGTGTAGTCATGCAAATGAAGCATTTATTTAAGCACTAGAAGGTCCAGAATGTAAGAATAACTCAAAAGACCAAACTGCATGAATTGATAATAGGACAAAGATTTTTATTTCAAAGTAAAATCGTGATACCTACTTATAATTATCTTTAAACTACATTTGCACAAATAGAAAAAAAATTTATCAAATTTTTTTTTGTCAATTAACTCACTTGATCCTTATGTGCTAGGCATTGTGCTAGAGACACAGATAAAAATGAAATAAATAGTCTCTGTCCTGAAAGAACTTACACAGAGGAAAGGGGAGGAAATGTATACATGTAAAAATAGATACAAAATAGGCTTAATTTTTCTGGCAGGCACTAGCATCTTAGGGCATCAGGAAAGGCCTCATGTAGTAGGTGATGACTGAGCTGACCTTTGATGGAAATTGCATTCTTGAGGCAGAAATAAGGAAGAGGGAATGAATTCTACTCATGGTAGGAAAGCAGAGGCAGGAGGTAAAATTTGGTGTGAAGGATGTCAAGAGAGCCAGTTTGGTTGGAGTGAAGAGTGTATGAAGGGGAGATATATGCTTATAGGTATATATGAGCACACACACACACATCTTGAAATGAAGTTTGGAGCCAAGTTGTGAAGAGTCAAACAGGAGTTTATATTGGATCCTAGAGGAGCCCCTGGAGTTTGTTATCTCAGTGCTTAGCACAGTGGCTGGTACATAGTGGGCACTTAATACATGATTACCTAAGGGCAGCTAGGTGTCGCAGTGAATAGAGCACCGGCCCTGGATTCAGGAGGACCTGAATTCAAATGCGACCTCAGACACATAACACTCACTAGCTGTGTGATCCTGGGCAAGTCACTTAACCCCATTGCCTAGCCAAAACAAAAACAATAAATGATTACCTATTATTGAGTTAGGAGAGTTACATGGTCAAACCTGTACTTTAGGACTAACCCTTGGGCAGTTGTGTGGAGGAGAGGCAGGGAGGCCAATTAGTAGGCTTTTTGTCATAGCTCAGGCAAGAAGAGGTGATGAGGCCTGAATGAGGAGAATAACCGAATGAGGAGGATAACCACATGAGCAGAGATAAGGGAGATGGAGTCAGGATGCGGAGACAGAATCGACAAGACCTGACCATTCATTGGAAGTGTGGAGAGTGTAGGATGACTCACATGGTTGCAAACCTGGGTGACGGCAAGGACAGTGGTGCCCTTGACAGAAATAGGAGAGAGTTTGGAAGATGGGTGGGTTTGGGGGTCAAAGATAATGAGTTTATCTTGACTCAGCTTATACCATAGCATGAGTTTCTAGGGGTTCATCCCAAAGTCTATTTTCCATCTGCCCTTAGAGGGAGCTTGGTTGAATCCCTCAGCCTCTTCAATATTTTCAGGCAGCTTCTTCATCTATCCAGGCAATACCCGTTTAGAGTGTGAGGATTTTTTCAAAAGTTTGTAAAATCCTACCTCTCTTGCAAAGATCTGGAGGGGGGTCTTTAATTCAGTTTGGTTTTACAAGCATTTATTACACATCTCCTGTGTGCTGGGCCTGAAATGATTCCTTGTTGTTGTTAAAGTATGTCCAACTTTTCTGTGATCCCACTTGGGGTTTTCTTGACAGAGATAAGGGAGTAGTTTGCCATTTCTTCTCCAGTTACTCATTTTCCAGATGAGAAAACTGAGGCAAACAGGGTTAAGTGACTTGCCCAGGGTCACACAGCTAGTAAATGTCAGAGGCTGGATTTGAACATAGGAAGATGAGTCCCCCTGACTCCAGGCTCAGCACTCTATCCATTGTGCCACCTAGCTCCTTAAATTACTGGAGGGATACAACTTGTACACACATGAAAAAGAGAAATATGAAGTAATTCTGGTCCAACAGCTAAGCACCAGTAGAAAGGGAAGACCTGAAGATAGTAAGGAGCTAGACTTTCCGAGGGACTTCGACAGAAGGGGGCGGATGGGATCCAGGATACAAGTTGAAGGGTTAGCTTTGCCATGGGTGTGAATAATTTTATCCTCTAAACCTGGAAAGAAGGAGGGAGAAAAAAAAAACCAAAACAGGTCAAGATGGTTTTTACGTTATGCAGAGAAATTGAAGGACTTTATAATCAGAGTCCTTAACCTGGAACCCATGAATTGTTTTTTTTTTCCCTCCCTACTTGTTTAATAATTGTATTTCAATATAATTTGTTTCCTTTGTAATCTTTTATATTTTACTTTATGCATTTAAAAACGTCCTGAGAAGAGGTCTGTAGGTCCACATCAAGACTGCCAAGGGAGGCCATGACACAAAAAAGGTTAAGAACCCTTGAATAGATGGTTTGGGGTCTTTCCAGTAAACTCGAAGGCAAAGTCATCTCTCAAGAGATAGAGTTGAGGTCTGAGGAGAATGGAAGTTTAGAATCCTTGTCAGGTTGGGTAATAGAGAAATCTTTTGTCCACTCCCTATCTTAAAGTTCCTTCTAGCTCCATATTCTATCATCCTGTGGCTTAAAGGGATCTTTTCACAGTGCAATTTGTTGAAAAATCTCATTTTGTCAGGGTGGATGCCAAGCTATTGACTTTCAGGGGTTCCCTGGGGCCCAAGTTGTGCTGTAGGCCAAAGGTGGAATTGTCCTGTCCTTTTGTTACGGGGAATTGTGGAGGTTTCCTGAGGAGCTGGGATGTGAGGATTAGAATTAGTTATTTCCCAAGACCCCTTCCCACTACCTTTTTCTTTTTAAAAAATTTATTTAATTTTTAATTTATGGAATAAAACAAGCATTTCCATAATACAGCCTAATTTGAAAAAAGGTGATTACACATGAAACAGCAAATCTATTATGTACAACTTGCCACCTTTTTCTGTGTCTGCAGAGCTGGAAAAGCAGCTGGTGGCACTCATTCCATATGGGGACCAGAGGCTGAAGCCCAGGAGAACGTAAGTGCCCTCTATTATTCATTCCACAAACTTTTACAAAGGCCTTCCTGTGTTGCATGGCTCTGTGCTGGGTGCTGAGTTGATGTAGGAAATGAATGAGATATGGTTCCTGTCTTCCAGATGCTTACAGTCTAGTGGGGGAAGTATACTCAAAATGGAATATGATATTAGTGAATTATATCTACAAAGAGGGCATGACAAAAGTTTAGAGGAGGGAAATAGCCTTTCCAGATGAAGGCCTTCCTGAAAAGAGTTGACATTTGAACTGATTTTTTAAAATTAAATTAAATTTTATTTAGTTCCATTTTAAGTTCCAAACTGTCTCTCTCCCTTCTTTCCTCACCCTGAACTAGAGAAGGCCACAATTTAAAACACACATACATATGTATGTATATGTATATACGTATAACATGTAAAACCATACTATGCATACTTCTGTTTATCAGTTCTTTCTCTGAAGGTGGATAGCCTCTTCCATCATAGATCCTTTGTCATTGATTTGAGTGTTCTCTTGGTTCTGCTCATTTCACTCTTCATTATTTCCTGCAAGTCTTTTCACTTTTTTCTAAAATCAGCCTGCTTGTCATTTCTTACAGTGAACTGATTTTTTGAAGGAAGAGTTAGGCTTACAAAAGATGGAGAGAGAAAGCTCGGACTGTTATAGGTATAGGGAGTATGAGGTCAGCAGAAGCACGGAGGTGGAAAAATTAGTGTGTTTGGGTAATAGGTCAGCCTGTCGTATGAGGTGAGGTGGAAATGGTAAACTGGAACCAGGTTGGAAAACCTCAAATGCCAGGTTTTTGTTTCTGAAAGTCGGATGAGGGTGGGGGGACCCAGACATAGGATTTCTTTGGTGTGGAGAGCTTTAGTTACTAGTGCCAGTCACATAGCCAATGTCCTAGGAGAGACTTGAACCTGGGGTCTTTCTGAAGCTAGGTGTTTATCTGTAATGTTTATAATGGTAATAGTAAGGATGACAGTGATGGCTTATGTAGCACTTCCCATATGTTATCTCATTTGATCCTTACAACAACCCTGGGTGAGAAGTGGTATTGTTATCATCCCTATTTTACAAATGAAGACATTGAGGCAGAGTGAGATTAAATGACTTGCCCAGGGTCTCACCTCTCATAAGTGTCTGAGGCTGTACTTGAACCCAGGCCTTCCTAACTCCCAACTCCAGCACTCTATGCAGCATTTAGCATAGTGCCTGGCACATAGTAGGTACTTGGTAAATGATTTTTGGCCGACTGTCCCCTGTGCCACCTGGCTGCCTCTCCACCATGAGTGCCAGGTTAAGGGTAGATAATGAGGAGCCTTTGAAGGCTTTTTGAGCCAGGGCTGTGATATAATCATAGCTGTTCCTGTCTTGGACCCTGCTGCTCTCACTTTGGGGTATTATCTCCAAGGTCTCAGTGGTTTGTTCTCTCTCCTCCAGCTCAAATCCATCCGTCTCCAGAGGATACTGCTTAATATAAGCATTGACACTTAGAGGGTTCCAGATGTTGAGGGTGACCCTCTGTAAAAACAGATCATTACCCTCTGAAGTTCTTCTTAACCCTGTCGTAACCCAGTTGAGTAAAGGTAGTATAGGGCATCTAGGTGGTGCAGTGGATAGAGGGCCAAGCCTGGAGTCAGGAAGACCTGAGTTCAAATCCAGCCTCAGACACTTCCTCTAGTTGTGTGACCCTGGGCAAGTCACTTCACCCTGTTTGCCTCAATTTCCTCATCTGTAAAATGAGCTGGAGAGGGAAAAGCCAAACCACTCCAGTATCTTTGCCAAGAAAACCCCTAACAGGGTCACAAAGAGTTGTACATGACTGAACAACAACAAGAGATAGTGTAGGCCTTTCCTATTGTGAAAGACTTCCCTGGAAGCAGACACTCTGGCTACTTCCATCCTGTCAGGAAATTATTACCATCTAATCACTGTCCTTTCTATAGTCATTGAAACTTGATTGTTTTGTTGTCCATGGAGATGGAAAGCAGATGCTCGTCCTTCCCATGGAGGCAATCATTAAGCCTTGCCACGTGAGGCTGCTAATTGTGCCCAACTGGAAATTCATCCCGTTGCATTCTGGGCCAGTTGTCCCAAATGGTGCTGGTGCCTGGACTGCTTCAGCACTTCAGAGATCCTTTCTGACCCTTGTTCCTGCACCAGGCACTATGGGCAGACCAGAGCTTTTTATAGGATGCCAGAGAGGCAATCTCTTTTTTTTTTTTTAATGAATTATTTTAAGTTACCCCAAGAGCAGAAATACAAGTTTGTCATAATGTAAACATGAATACGTAACTAGTCTGCGGACTGCAGTACTTGCTTAGACTAGTAGTCATTCATCACAAACCTTCAAGGGCCTTCTGCGTAATAGAGAGATGGTGAACTAATTTGCAGAATGAGAGATATTTTTGAACGTGACATATGGGAATTTGTTTTGTTTGATTATGTTTATGTTTATGTGATACAAAGGTTCATTCTGTCTTTTCTTTCCTCCCTCTTCTCTTTACTTGGTAGGTGGTAGGAGAAAAATGCTTGATAAATAGGGAAAGAAAAGTCATCAGAATTTTTTTTACTTCCTTTTGAACTTAAATACAAAAAGACAAAAAAAAACCCCAAAATAAAAAAAACCATTTACGTGTACAGCATAACGCAAAAAGAGGATTCAATATGAAACCATGACTCTCCATTTCACACTGCTTACTTAAAAAAACTATGTAATAAATACACATTGTTCTCAAAACTACCCTATTTTTCTGTGCTTCCTTCTAAGTTTTTTTTTTTGTTCTCTGCTGTGCAGTTTTTTTTTCCCCTCCTTCTCTCCACATCCTGCACTAAAGAAGGCCACCATTAGACACAGGTAGGGGTGTGTGTGTGTGTGTAAAACCATACTACACAGGCTTCTATTTATCAATTCTTTCTCTGGAGGTAGATAGCATCTTCCTTCATAGGTCCTTTGCAGCTGATTTAAGTATTTATAATACTCAGAATAACTTAGTCATTCAGAGCTGTTCTTTGAACGACATTGCTATTACTATATACCACATTCTCTTGTTTCTGCTTATTTCTCTCTTCATTATTTCCTGCAAGTCTTTCCATGTTTTTCTAAAATCAAATAGCCCAGCCCATCATTTCTTACAGCACAATAGTATTCTATCATAATCATGTAACACACCTTGTTTAGTCATTCCCCAGTTGATGGACATCCCCATAATTTCCAGTTCTTTGTTACTACAAAGAGAGCTGCTATAAGTATTTTGGGACTTTTAAGTTCTTTTGCTTTTCCCCCAGATCACTTTGGAAAACAGACCTAATGGTGGTATTGCTGGGTCAAGGGTATACACAGCTTTGGGCGTAATTCCAGATTGCTCTCCAAAATGGTTAGATCAGTTCACAGTTCCACCAGTAGTGTATTAGCATCCCAATTTTTCAGCACCCCTCCAACATTTGTCATTTTCCCCTTTTGTCATTTTAGCCAATCGGATAGGTGTCAGATGATATCTCAGACATCAGAATTTTTAAAGGGCACTGAACTGGGGATACAGAGATGAAAAATGACAGTCCCTGCCTTCAAGGAGCTTACAGTCTAATATTTGGGCTACACTTTGCCAGGCTCTCAAACTGCTGAAGCATGAGAAGCCTTGGTCTTATCAGGGATTGTCTCTTTTCTATTTGTATCCCTGGTGCTTAGCACACTACCTGGCACAGTCGAGGTGTCTAACATGCTTGTTTGACTGGGAAATCGTTTTGTTGTAATGGAACTGACCTCAGCAGTGATCCTAAAACTGGAAAGACCCCCCCCCCCTTCTCACAGGCTTCTTCTGTTCTCTCCCTCACTTCCCGACCTTGCTTTCTCTACAGGAAGCTCTACGTTTCCCTGGCTGTGTTCACCTGCCTGCTGATGTCAGCCCTCATCTTCTTCATTCTGTTCCCCCGATCCATCGTGGTACAACCGGCTGGGCTAAGTTCTTCCATGGTGGCTTTTATTGATAATGTCATCCTCCTTAATGTGACGGTATGTTCTATTTGGGGATCCTCTGGCTGAGTCTTGAACAGGCACAGATTTTATTAACTGGTTTTTTTTCCAGCCTGCTGTTCAGTACTGTCACTCTGGGTCAAGGTGGGGCTGGTCGAGTCATTGACTCTAATCCTCTGGTCAGCAAGTTGCTTTAGGTGAGGATTGAGAATTTGTTGAAAAGGCAAAACTCAGGTTGGTATCAGAGTGGAGGAAAGAGCATGTTGTGAATTGTAATCAGGGAAGGTAGGGAGTCTTGAATCCCAGAGGCCTAGAGAGAGCTCATGACTAGTGAAAGTGGGTCATGAAATGGTTTTGCTTTTTAGGGAAAGCAGTTATGATCTTTAGACCATTTAGTGACTTAAGAGAGTTTTTTATGGATTCCCCACTGTAGGGTCCTGTACAGCTTGAGAACTGACATTTAAGAGTGTCAGACTGCAGGGTTATTAAACTGTTTGCGTTCAGGCAGAATGTGGTTCCAGTCATCTTCTGCCTTGGGGATGGTTGGTTGGCCTCATCTCTCTCTCTCTCTCTCTCTCTCTCTCTCTCTCTCTCTCTCTCTCTCTC